TAAATGAGCCCCTCCAAGCCTTTATAATCACACAGATGTGGGGCTATTTTTAATTCTGCCAAAAATTTGTAATCTAAATGGTGTGGGAGATTACAGGGCCTCTAAAGAGTTATTTGTCTCTGTTTATTTTATTAAATATTACTAGACATACCCTGAGGATGACAGATCAATAAGGGTCTTTGTGGTTTCCTGATGGAAGGTCGTAATTATTTTCTTCCATTATAATATAAACATAACCAAATTTAACTCATCTATCATCTTTGCAACAGTAATAAAGAAACATCACTGCATGTTTATTTTACTGTCTTTTTCATTTCACCTTCCTTCAAAATTATTTTTATCTGTTTGTGCTCTTCCTTTGATAGGAGTGGTGACCAGTTTGTCTGTCCACATCCCAGGGTATTTTGTGACAAAAAACAGCCTTTGGTTTCTCTGTTTGGTTGCAAAGTGCTTTGCCATGCTTTGGATCAAAGACACTGTATGGAGTAACTTTTGGATGTGAAAACTCACAGGAAAAACAAAACAAAAGGAATCCCTGTGCCACAGGAAATCTAGAGCTGAATTCTGCTTGCAGTTCCACAGGCACGGCTCCATGGGAATTGGATCCATGTAACTGAGAGCCAAATTGGCTCACAATTGTTTACCACATAAAAAAAATCAATGTGGAAAAATTCTAAATAAAAAAATTCTAAGCTTACTGCTCAGTAAAAATATTACAATGTAGAATACATCTGTACCTGTTGAGCCCAAAACCTGCTCATCTCACCCACCTAAGGAGTCCCATTGAAGTCAGAACTTAGATGGGCACCTTGAGACTATGTGCATAAGTGAGGAAAGGCAAGTAGGATTTGGCTCTTGATCTGAATCTTCATCTATTTTAGTAGCTGAACATGACTAATTTTGAACCAGTGACTAAGGCTCAATCCACTAAAACCGACACCCAGTTTCCACAGCGGGTGTGGGTGAGGAGATGCCAGAGCAATGATTCGAAAACCTCCAGGAGAGATTTGCAACCACTTCACAGCACTCTTCTTGCCCTGGCTTAGGCACCAGAAAACCTTTAGTTTTACTCCACTTTTTTATTTCTGATTCAAAACTGATTCTGATTGCTCTCCTGTTCCCATTTAAATCAATGTCAAAACTGGAGCAGGTCCTCATCTGGTGTTCACTGTCATATTTCCATTGACTTAAATAGGGCTATGACAATTTACACCAGCTGTGGATCTGCCAGCCTGACTTTAATGGGCTGGGTCTTATATGAGCTTCCCTGAAAGACAGGGAAAACTGGAGCCAGTTTTGATTCATGTTTTGTAAAAACTGACAGGTTTTTATATCCAAAACCAGTTTTGTCAACCAAACTGAGGTGAGTTGAAGCATTTTCATTCAAACACCCAAATTAGGGAAGGAAGGGTAGAGGGAAAGTTTCAGAGAATTTGTTCTCATTTGGGCCCATTTCTCGCTTCAACTGCTTCACACCAAACAACAAAAGCAGGAGGAATAGTCATTCAAAGGGTTATCTATTAGCCTAACAGAAACAAAGACAATGTGTCTTGCAACTCTTTCTGCTAATGTGATTTGTCCTTCACCTATCAGCCTTTGACTGTAAATGATCAAATATTATAGGATTGCCTTGAAAACAATGCCAAAGACGCAGCATTTGGTTTGGATGTTGCTAACATTACACTTTCATTACTGCAGTACTGTTTGAAGTCTCTTGTTATTTAATCCTGTAGAAGTCAGTACATTTTCTCTTGCATCAGAGGACTGTGGTTTGCATCTCTCATAACATTAAAGAGAGACATCATTTTGGCTAAATTACACAAAATAACATTCTGATTCTGCCAAAATAAGCTATGACAAATTGTCATAGTTTACAGAAAGTTTTATATCAAGTGAAAGGTGACCTACAAAAGGGAAAAGTTGGGTTGTGGCATTTTAAACTTCTCTATGATGCACAAAGAACGCCTGAAAAGTGCTTTTGTTTGATGAGTGTTTAAAAGGAAATTTTTTCCCTGTTTGTTTTTTACATTAGAAATTTACATCCTTCTAGACTGGAAAAATATGTGAAATGGTGACATTACAAGAGTCAAAAAATGAAAGCTGAGTAATTGACAGGGGAAGAGATTTTCAGTCAGACTGTTTAAAACTCTTTGATTTTTGTTTGTTTTTATAATCTCCTATTGAACTTCAAAAAGAAAAGGCGTACTTGTGGCATTTTAGAGACTAACAAATTAGTCTCTAAGGTGCCACAAGTATTCCTTTTCTTTTTGCGGCTGCAGACTAACACGGCTGCTACTCTGAAACCTATTGAACTTGAGTGATTAAAGAACACTCTGGATAAAGGAAACCGTGAGATAAATATTCAAACTCCTAATCTCTTCAATTAAGGTGTTGAAGTTCACAGTAAACATCCCTAAAACCACCCAGAGGTTCTCCAGCAAAATCTGAGATTTGACATTCTTGATATTTCTGAGATTAAAACAAAAAAAGAAAAAAAAGACCTTTATTTCCCTCCCAAAACCAAATCAAAACCTTTTATGTCTTCTTTATACATCATAACGAAGCAATGAAAGGGCACACTCCCAGTTTTTAAAAATCCTTTGCTAATCACCTACCCCTTCAATCCAGGGCCGAGAAAGCTCACAATAGATATTTAAACCTTCCAATGAGTTCTCCTCCAAAAAAAGAATGTCTATCTTGACAGTCTTGATATTTCCATGGTAAAAAACTACATTCAAGCCTTCTTTATACAAAATAAAAGTGCACAAAAGGCACAGACCCATTTTCCTCCTTTTGAAGCAATCCTTTATCAATGTTATATAGCTGCAGTAAGAGCAGAAATCTGCAATTCTGATGACATTTCTTGGAAACATGCAACTGTAATAAACCCTCTGAAGCCATAATACATTCAGCTCAGATATGCAAAACAGTGGCAGAGCCTAGAAAGCATTTTGAAGCAGGAAAAAAATTCTTAGAATGTGAAAACTCATAGATTATTCCATCAATATATTAAAGGAGCACTTTGCTGTGAAAAGACCATCTTATTAAAGAAGTTTGGCTGGGTAACAGAAGAATGAGATAAAAGGATCAAAAGGATCTTAAACCGCCCCCCCCCAATAAATAATCCAAGAATAAGGAAGAAAACTATTTTCAGAGAATAGAAATGGATACTCAGAGTGAAACACAAAATGAAAAACGAAGAAGAAATATTAAGGTTTGAGAAAAGACGAGGACAAGGCACTAGAAAAAGATAACAGAAGCTACTATATTAAGTATTTTCTAAACTGTATCTATTTTCCTGAAAATTAGGAAGAAAAATAGTAAAATATAGAATGTGACATGTTCACAGTGCCAGCACTAAATGGCAACTCCAGTATCTCAGCTCAGCTCTGGGAACCTCTGGCAAGGAATCTTTCACTGAAGGCTGCAGAATCATAATGGAGCCTATTTAGAGATTATTCTAGCCCAGTGGCTAGGCGACTCTCCACAGTGGAGCATGCCTCTGCCACAAGGGAAATGCCAGAGGATCTGTGCAGTGATTGATTCACCGAGTGTGACCTTCGCCCCATCCTGGTGCTGAACGCCTAACATCCGCTGCCATCTGGGAGGGACTGTGTAAAGCCTGTAACAGAATCTCACCCTACCCAGGTCCTTAACAGAATGGGTTACAAACAAATATGTCTATGTTTTAAATATTTTGTTTGTAAAATCCTTCTTGTCCAGTCCTGAATACAGGATTCCATATTTCCGCTGACATCACCACAGACCACTCAATAGAGAGGAAGGAGGGGTTTTTCTTTTGTTTCCTCTTTGTTGTTCTAATTGCTTGGGATGCCACCAGCACCATCAGGGAAACCCTCAATGTGTAGTAGATTTGAGAAAGCACAGATGTAAAGATATGGAACCCTTCATTATCTGAATTCAGGTTGCATCTTTTAGTAGACAATATTTACCACACAAAACTCCTCTTACCCAGATTCCCATTAATCTAATAAACCCTACATTGCACTCAGAAAAAGTGAGCTTCTAGGTTACTTCTTTAGGACCCAATCCTTCACAGAGAAATTTGCAGAGACAAGAGTACATTTGCTTAGTTCTCACTGCAGGACTGGGACTGCATTCGGGTAGGGTGAGATTCAGCACCTCACTCTACAAGAAGAAAAGGAGTACTTGTGGCACCTTAGAGACTAACCAATTTATTTGAGCATGAGCTTTCGTGAGCTGTAGCTCATGAAAGCTCATGCTCAAATAAATTGGTTAGTCTCTAAGGTGCCACAAGTACTCCTTTTCTTTTTGCGAATACAGACTAACACGGCTGTTACTCTGAAACCTGTCACTCTACAAGAAATCTCACTAATTGGATTAACTAAACTAACTTCAGCGGGACTGCTTGTGTATGAAACATGAGTAAGGGTACCACAATCTGGCCATTAAATGATTTATATTATGAAACAGATTTCTTTTTCTAACAAAAAAACCCCAAACCTTTATTTCACCTTTAACATTCTCTGAGTTTTAGTTGTAGGGGACTCAATGCACAAGGCGACTGATATTAGTGAACCCCTTTTAATGACAGCAGGAGATATAATTCCCTCATTGTTCCATCTACAGCCTAATGATCCTTAGAAACAAAAGCACACAAAACCAGAAAACAAATTAGTTGTTTTTTAAAAAGAATTTTTTCAGTCCCTTTAATAGTTTATTTTATCTCCTTAAGCCCTTCATTGACTCCTGCAGTCAATTTACAGTAATTGCTTCTTGCAAAGATTGGCAAACTTGTGCTAATCATTGCCTATTTAAATGGACAACTCAAATAACCTGTAAATGATTAGGGGCCTTAGCCAGCAAAGACTTGCATCTCACTACTGCAATCAATGGGACAATCACACAGTAATGGAGTAGTCAATGTGAGTAACGGGTGGAAGAATTTATATGACAAAGTAATTTTATATATGTAAAGTATATGACATAAAGTATATGACAAAGTAATTTTCACTTACCCTTTTCAAACAGTATTTGCTATCTTTCCCATAAAAGTGCTGAAGACATTTCATGTTTTGCTTGTTTACAATCTTGTTGAAGAATTCATTGATTGTTCGGACAGAGACTGCACAGACAGCAGATCTGTTTGTTGGTTCCGAAGAGTCCGGCTTGCTTTGTGCAAAAACACCATACAGAATGTCATCGTTCACACTAAGCCCCATTTCATGGGCCAGAACTGCACCTGGCTTACTGACATATGCAGCCTGCAGAACATTAAATATCTCATTTCGAATTGACCTCTTCCTCCGCTTTTCAGTGAAAATGCACTCAAGAGGCATCTCCATGTAAGAGCGCAACTCAGAATCAAAAGAGCAGAAACGGATGATTCTTGTGTGAAAAGACTGGGAGTCAAGAGATTCACGCTGGACTGTTAGGAAGTAGACAAAGTGATCATTTTCAAAGGCATGGACATACTTAATGGTATAAGAGTCCCTGAACTGTGGGAGAATGTCCATATAAGAATGATCTGTGAGAAACTCAAAACCATCCTGGGTTTCTTTTAACCTTCTAACCGACACTGAATGTAGTGCATGCTGTGGTTGAAATGAAGACTTCACAGTATTCCCAACAAAAAAGTTTACAAATCTGTCCTTTTCGGTCACCAAAACTTTGGTTCCTAAAGTGCTTACAACACAGTCAGGGCAGCTGTCTGACTCGCCATCCCTCTGCTTTGAGTACATGCAGTGCACTTCACTTTCTATGTCGGCAGGGTTGTCGGGGTGAATGATGTGACGTTGACATACACCTCGAGTTACACTACCACAGCTGATGAGCTGATCATCATAGTACGTTTCTAGGAGCAGAGCCATGTTGACATTATCCTTCCAAACACTATTGGATAAATTGTTTCTCTCTTTGCAATCTTCACATGGTGCACAATCAGGATTCTCCAGCACGGGTCCAGTCTTGTACACAGAAATGTTCTGGAGGTTTTCATTTAAGACATAGATCTTGTTGACTGCTCCGATATAGATATGATGCTTATATAAAACTATATTCTGTATTGGCGTTTCTGTGATAAAATGAGGAAGATGATAATTGATGCTCAAATTCATCTCTGACTTTATAGCTGCTTCTTTACATTGTCCACTGGTCCTTTGCACCAAAGAAAACAGGAATATAATAATCCCAGAAGTAAACGCAGCAACAGTCTTCATTGTTATAGATTTAACCTGTCAAAATATATTTAAATAAATAGTGTTTATATTTCATATAGTAAAGCTTCAGTTTATCAATTATCAGAGATCTGCTTCTATGCTGTATGTGTATTAGCCATTCTAATCCAGTTTGAGAACAAGTTGCAGTTTTGCCCTGTGTCCTGTTCTAAACTGTTGCCATTACAATGTCTAATGGGTACCTATCTCAAAACTGCCAGCACACTTCCCAGCAGCAATGGATTATGATGGATTTTGAAAGACCACCGGTGCATTGTGGGGTAGAAGTGGAGAGCTGATAATATCAGCTACTCTAGTTCCACATTGATGCTAAAATAGTTTAGACTGAAATGGCTTAGATCAACCCAATCCTTAAATAGTCTGAAAGAAATTCTCATCAGAGCAGTTCTTGAAACACATATAAAGTGGCTGAAGAACTTTGTGTGGAAGAAAGATGTTCTGCAACACCTAGGGGTTGGAGTGGTTTTTAGTATAGCTGGTCCAAAAAAAAAAAAAAAATCACAAAAAATATTGACATTTGTATTTAAGTGGACTCATTTTATTCTTTGCTCAGTGTTTCACAACATTTTTATCAAAATCATTATTGAAATGGTTAATTAAATTTTTCACTACCAGAAAGCCATTCTGTTTTTCCCTGCAAATTCCATAAAAGGCAAAAAATGTTTTGTCTGAAAAGAATTCAACCAGTTCTAGTTCTTGGAATGGTCATTTTCTCTCATGTAAACAAGGCATTATAATATATCCTTAAAACATTTTATGTATTTTGTGGTTCTTGACATGTGCAAGTTTAATTTTAGGCCCTGTACCACAGTGATAAGTCACTTGGGAGAACCTTCAGAAGATACAGGCAAAGCCCTGTGTTGTAAACAAAGAGATATCAAATGAATTAGAACCATGAAGTGATGAAATCAACAAACCTAGCACATTTCTTTCTTACTTATTTTCCTCATTTATTTTATGTGGCTTTAAAAATCAAAAGCCCATGACTAGTGTGATATTTAAAACCCTCTCATTTGACCAAGTACATGAATTGTGGTTGGCACGTATTTTGGTCCAGTATCTACATTAGATCATAAATCATACCAGACATCATTCTCTTAATATCTTGCCACAATTGCTAAGCTCAATTTGGCTTCCTGATGTAGAAAACAATTATACTTTCTAAAAGAAATATGATTACATGCTGTTTAGAAGATTTTAATGGAAAAAACGGCTTATAATTTGGCTATAGTTAAACACTTGTTTCTGATAGACAAATGCTCACAAGGACACTGAGTCTCTAGAGACCTAAATACAGACTTGAAAATACAAAATATAATAATCAGGAGTTTTGTACTGACTTTTTTTTTTTTTTTTTTAAAAAAGCAAAATTTTGGTTAAAATGACAGAATTTTACAAGTCACTGAAAATTTTATATAACAAATATATAACTTTTATATTTTCGTTAGACTGGTTTAAACAACACAAATAATTCTGATGTACTCTTTCATATACTTTATTTCAATGTATATTGCATTCTTTCTGCGGCTTACATCATTAGTCTATACACACAGTGTTTGCAAACAAGAGAATTGTCCCTTGTCCGAAAACCTCTCAACCATCTGTCAAGAACCATGATCAAGAATGGAGAAAAAAATCAAAGACTATCAGCAACAGTCTCTGAAAAACTGCTAGGAAAGACAATCCACTCATGTGATAGTGAGTAATGAGAGTATTATTTTTTACGCAACTGGCATTTTCTGCTATTAATTAGCAATACAGTAGCAGAATATTGGGAAGAAAAAGAATTTGGTTTGGGGGAAAAAGAGCAGGGATATTATTATTACAAAATAGTGATAATTTGATTTAATATTTACCTGTAGTATCTACAGAGTGCTGGCTCCTGGAAGAACATATAGGCAGACACGTTCTTTGCCCTAACTAGCTTAAGTTCTAATATTGAACAAGACACAAGAATTGAGAGCTGCAAACAATAGGTTGAGAAACTGAAGGGTGGATAGATGAAAGTTACAAAAATAGTCACAAGGTTACTTGATTGCAATACATTCATCTTGTTCCAATGTATTAGACAATACACACAAAACCTTCCCCTCTTCCCCAGTCCCCTAAAATCCTCTACAGAATGCAGATCCCTTACCCAAACCCACCTTCCTGGTCCCTTGGATATCTGAGAGGCGCAGAGAACTCCTGCAGAGATTGTTCTGGGTGTTCAAGACCAAAAGAGCAAAATACCAGCTTTTAATGACACTGGGACCCAGAAGGTGTAAAGACAGGGTGGACTATTCTTTTCCCATGCCACACTGGTGTTCAGGTCCCAGAGCTAAAAGGAAAGCCCCAGCTGGGTCACTGTCCCCACTTCCCTCGGTATGGCAGCACTAGCTGCTACTAGCAATTATGTAGCTCCTGGCAGGAACTGGTCCTACCCTGGAAAAGTGTTGCCCAGCTCCCCAGGTTCCTTGTGGTCTTGAAGAGCTGCTAATCACAGGTGCTAACTAATCTCCTTGCTGGAGTTCAAGTCCCAGGCTTGACTCTGCAGTCTGGAGCAGACAAATTTCTGCTGAAGTTGATTTACAGAATCAGATCCAAGGTGCAGAACTAAATAGCTCCGTTAATTCAGTGCAGTGCAATGGGCGGCACTAATAATATGTACCACACTCAACTCCATGAGCAAGGAAGGAAAATATGAACAACCCATGAGAACCAAACTTCATCCAGGCTTTGCAGTCTGAGCCCTCCCATCGTGTCTACACCTTTTCTTCCTTTGTGTTTGTGACATGTGCCAAGAAGTCTCAGATGCCGACTCCTGCAGAGGTCCATCCATACAACCCGCAAGGTCAATACATGTATACAGCTGCAAAAGGAGATGACTCCCCACAAACCCATACACTATGGATTTCCTGCTTCACGGTGTCTAAGAATGGGAAGCAGAAGCAAACTGCTGTAGGCTCAACCTTGGTGAGACAGGAATGATGCTGATAGCCAGAGGGATACAGCTTCAGGAAAGGGTGCACGGTTCAGAATGCACCAACTCTTGGAGGTGTATAACTGGCATTTCAGCCTTGGGGCATCTCCGTTGCTGCTTTTGGATCTCAAGGAGACACTGATGGCACACAATGTCTCTTTTCACCTAATGTTCGGCCTGGAGACTGTCACTATTCCTCTTTTGCAGACTTCAGCATAGTGAGCCATCTTGTTATATCCTCAAGGCTGCAAAATGCTTTACTTGGCGATACCCTTGAAAAGTACTTGAAAGCGTAAAAAGATAATAAAAATAAAATAAAAAATACAGTAAAAAATGCAGCAGCTCATCCCTTGAGAGGTGTTAGCACCCCAATTCAACAAAGTACTTAAACATATGCTTAACTTTAATTTGATTTCAGTGGGACTTTAGCACATGCTTAGGTGCTTTGCTGAATCAGTGCCATAATACCCAGGCTATGGACTTGTTCCATTTTCTCTTCTTCGTGCAGGTCAAGGTATTAGTTAATACCTTTCTGTTGCTAAGGGAAAAAAACTAATCTGTTAGTTTCTATGTTGTATTTTAGTGACCTCCCTTTGATCAGTTTATCCCCATCTGCGTCATCTGTCTAGAGGAGTCTTAACTTATTTTGACCCGTGGTGCTTCCTATTAAGCTAATTCTGTGGATGGATTCTGTCTTTTGTGAGTGGATATTTTCAAAGGTCATGTCACAATGCCCCCATTTTTCCATCCCTCAGCAGACACTAGCTCATATAACCCATGAGAAATTGGGTTTTGGTCAGCCCGTGGTGCTGGCAGCTTAAGTGCTGTGGTTGATGCTTCCCATACATATTTGGTACTTGGAGTTTGTGTGCTAGTGACTAACATCCATCACTGGGAACTAGATAGCTTTTTTCCATTGACAAGCCTCATTCACACTGTGTCATCATTTATAAAAATACAAGTGCAATAACTTTTCTTGATGGCCATGAGGATGCTGCTTTTATTGCGGTGATATTCCAGACCAACGCTGGTTGCTAGGTAATGTCAAGTCTGCAACATGTGAGGAAGCCAAATGCCGTAGCTGTGCTTGGTCTTATACCATTAATGTTAACAATTTCTCTTCCTTTTTGGTTTGATCACAGTGCACTTCATGAAACCTCAGAGAGAATGATACTATTTAACCTACAAATCCAGGCTTTTGTATGTTGTTATTTGGCACATCTCAATTTTCCTTGCTTTATTACCTGACAAGAAATGATAGGGGCCTGTTTGTGTCATGACAAGTGATGGATCCCTGAAAAATTGCTCTTTTCTGTTCAATCCCTCTGAAGCAATTGTTCCCGGCCACTGTCAAGATACAGGGCTAAATGGACAATTGGTCTGACCCAGTATGGCCATTCTTATGTTGTTAACGGCAAGTTTACACTAGAAAACACATTCCTAAAATAGGTCCTTTCCAGTGGGATATAGCCGAGATGTGGTAATTCACACTTCACTAATCTGCAAACTCTATGATTACCACACAAAAATGATGGCTTCTTCCCATTTTTAGCTAAGATTTAATAGCAGAGCACTACAGTTATTAATTATGAGATTGTAGATCTTATTAGTTGCATCTCAGACACCACTTACTAAGACACCATGATTTCTACAAAATACAGTGCAGAGCAGTTAATAGAGAGCACGTCAAAGTACTGTCATAACTAATCAAATCAAAACAGCACTTGGCAAATAAACTAGAGACATAGAGTCATAGAATTTACAGCCACCAGATCATTCAGTCCAACTCCTTGCACATCAAAGGCCTCCAACACCATCCAGCACCTGCACGCCAACCTGAACAACCAAAATTAGACCAAAGTACTACAAACCCACAGAGATTAGATAATTACGTACCACAGGCAGAGAAGTGAAGGGACCCAGGTACACTAGTGCTCGAGGCCTCTGCAATGGCAGAGAAATGATTACTTGAGATATACCCTGGCAAGTGACAAAGAATATTTTGTACTGTAGGGTTCTTGCTTTTTATATTGTT